GCCTAAGCAAAATAGTGAGACCCTGACTACGTATTTTTTGTTGTTGTTGAGACAGTTTTACTCTTGTTGCCTGGGCTGAAGTGCAATGGTGCAATCTCAGCCCACCACAACCTCCGCTTCCCAGATTCAAGCAATTCTCCTGCGTCAGCCTCCTGAGCAGCTGGAATTATAGGCATGCGCCACCACGCCCAGCTAATTATACATTTTTAGTGGAGATGGGGTTTCTCCATGTTGGTTCTCCATGTTGGTCTCAAACTCCTGATCTCAGGTGATCTGCCACCTCGGCCTCTCAAAGTGCTGGGATTATAGGCATGAGCCACCACACCTGGCCTACAAAATGTTTTTTTCTGTTTTTTTGCAATGGAGTCTTGATCCCATTGCACAGGCTGGAGGGCAGTGGCACAATCTCAACTCACTGTAACCTCTGCCTCCTGGGTTCAAGTGATTCTCCTTCCTCAGCCTCCTGAATAGCTGGGATTACAGGCGTGCGCCACCACATCCAGCTAATTTTTGTATTTTTTCTTTTGAGACGAAGTCTTTCTCTGTCACCCAGGCTGGAGTGCAGCAGTGCCATCTTGGCTTACTGCAACCTCCACCTCCCTGGTTCAAGCAATTCCCCTGCCTCAGCCTCCTGAGTAGCTGGAATTACAGGTGCATGCCAACACGCCCGGCTAATTTTTTGGTAGTTTTAGTAGAGACAGGGTTTCACCATGTTGGCCAGACTGGTCTCAAACTTTTGACCTCAGGCAATCCTCCCACCTCAGCCTCCCAGAGTGCTGGGATTCCAGGTGTAAGCCACCGAGCCTTGCTAATTTTTGTATTTTTAGTAGAGATGGGGTTTTGCCATGTTGGCCAGGCTGGTTTTGAACTCCTGACCTCAGGTGATTCACTTGCCACAGCCTCCCAAAGTGTTAGGATTACAGGCGTAAGCCACTACTCCCAGTCAACAAAATGTTTCAAAAATTAGCTGGATGTGGCCGGGTGCAGTGGCTCATGCCTGTAATCCCAGCACTTTGGGAGGCTGAGGTGGGTGGATGGCAAGGTCAGGAGTTAGAGATCAGCCTGACCAACATGGTGAAACCCCATCTCTACTAAAAATGCAAAATTTAGCCAGGCGTGGTGGCACATGTCTATAATCCCAGCTATTTGAGAGGCTGAGGCAAGAGAATTGCTTGAACCCGGAGGGTGGAGTTTGCAGTGAGCGGAGATTGCACTGCACTGCAGCCTGGCCACAGAGCAAAATTCTGTCTCAAAAAAAAAAAAAAAAAAAAAAAAAAAAAAAATTAACTGGGTATAAGGCAGGGCACAGTGGTTCACACCTGAAATCCCAGCATTTTGGGAGACCAAGGAAGGCAGATCACCTGAGGTTAGCAGTTTGAGACCAGCTTGCACAACATGGTGAAACCCCATCTCTTCTAAAAACACAAAAGTTAGCCAGCCATCGTGGTGCACACCTGTAATCCCAGCTACTCAGGAGGCTGAGGCATGAGAATCGCTTGAACCTGGGAGGCGGAGGTTCCAGTGAGCTGAGATTGTGCCAATGCACTCCAGCCTATGCAACAGGAGCGAGACACTGTCTCAAAAAAAAAAAAAAAAAAATTAGTTGGATGTGATGGCGTGTGCCTGTAGTCCTAGCTACTTGGGAGTCTAAGGCAGGAGGATCACTTGAGACCAGGAGGTCAAGGCTACAGTGAACTGCCTCGAATTCCTGACCTCAAGTGATCCACCCACTGCAGCCTCCCAAAGTGCTGGGATTACAGGTGTGAGCCACGGTGCCCAATTTTCTAAGTGCAATGGGTTCCTATTTTCCTTGTGCTGTCAAAAATCTGTTACAATTAAAATGAAAGGTCTTTGCTCCATCTGGCTTTCACAGCGACGCCCACTGTGACCGCCCCATTTAGTGCCAGGCCTGCCCTGCCTCAGCCCTGCTTGCTCTGCTGTGTCCTCCCTCGCAGCAGGGCCGGCTCGCGAGACGATTTTCGCTGTGCACACCCTTCCTTCCTTCCGGGACCCCGGTCTGCAAACTCCAGCCACAAGGTGGATCCCATCCGCTAGCTATGTTTATAAAGCTCAAGAACTAAAAATGGTTTTCTGTTGTTTAATAGTTGAAAATCAAAAGAAGGATGATATTCATGACCCATGAAAATCACAGGAGGCTCACCGTCAGCGTCCACAAGTAGAATGTGATAGGGACACCCCACACCTGACTGCTTACGCCCCGCCCGGAGCTGCTTTCCACAAAGAAGGCAGAGTCAAGGGGTGCACGGCCTCATAGCCTAGTGGATTTAATTAGGTTGGTGCAAAAGTAGCAGCGGTTTTTGCCATTATATTTGGCCTTTGGTAGACAAAGCCGGCTGGTCCCTGGCCCGGGCTGAGTTCCATGAGCTGGGGCCTTAGTTTTGTCTCTCATGTAAGTGTCTGCGGCAGTGCCTGGCAGCTATGGGATGCTCCATTGCTCTGGCTGAAAGAGCGAATGGAGGTGTAGGTTGGGGAGTACGTTGTGTCATCCTCCTAGAGAGAGTGACGCTCACCCCCTTCTCCAGCTTTGTCTGGTGGACACCACCACCTGCCTACCCCAGCAGGTGGGCTCGCCCCCGGACTCCCAGCACTGAGAGGAACCTTGAGCAGGCGGCGTCATTTGCTCCACTCCCTGGAGAAGACAGGGCAGAGGGTAGTAAGGCCTGGATTTGGCACCGGGGGGTGGGTCTCTGGAACGATCGCAAGGGCTTGCTTGGCTCTAGGGGCCGCCCCCAATGACCCTACACAGAGCCCCTTCCTGCCTGTGTGGGCTGAGCCCGCTCTGCTGCGTGGGCGGCACTTTGGTGCCCTCTGGTGGTTACTGGGAGTGGCTACCACCAAGGCACCTGTGGCCTTAACCTCCCCAGAGGGAGCCCCTGGCCTCTGCAGTCCATCTGACCACCTCACCCAGAGATAAAGGAGCTCGCTAGCCTGGGCGCTCTCCGTCCTCCTAGCTCTCTCTGTAGAGTATCTTGGTGTCACAGGATGTCCTCCCATCAAGCTGACTAGGGAGCTGCTGGCAGCCTTTCCGGTGGTGAGACAGGCAGGCCCAGGACTCCTGGGGACTCCCAGGCTGCCAGACAGTGTGCACCTGTCTCTACCAGTGTACATCCCATCCTAACAGAGAGTGGGAGGTGACCTTGGTCCCATGGCCCAGGGACCCTCAGAGAGGGATGAGCAGCCTTACAAGCTCCTTTGTGTTTTTTGCATAAGTGGAGAAGCTGCATCATCTGTGGGTAAGAGCCCCTTGGCACAGAGAACTGCTCCAAGTTCTGCTATGGGGACAGGAAATGTGTCCGTAGCCAGCCTAAGACTCCACTTAGCAGTGATCATCACGTCCTTGTCACCAGGTATACATTGCACATTAGCAGTGTTCCTTGTCTGCCTCCAACAAAAGACTAGGCTCCGGGAAAGCTAGGGTCTGAGCCGCCTCAGTAGCCTAGCCTCTAGCTAGGGTCTACCTGAGTGAATGGCAGGGGATAGGTGAGTGAGTGGACGTAGGATGAAGATGGATGGATGGAGGGACGGGTGGGTGGATGGGTGAATAGATGGATAAAGTGTGGGTGGATGGACAGATGAGTGAATGGGTAGATGAATGGGTAGGTGGGTGGATGGATGGATGGGTAAGTGGATGAATGGATGGATGGGGGGATGGGTGGATGGATAGATAAGTAAATGTGTGGATGCATGGGCAGGTAGGAGGGTGGGTGAGTGGATGGATGGATAGATAGATGGATGAGTGAACATGGGAATGAATGGGTGAGTAGGTGGGTAAGTGAATGGATGGATGGATGGATGGATGGAGAATGAATGTGTAGATGAATGGGTAGGTGGGTGGGTGGGTAAGTGGATGGATGAGTGAGTGGATGGATAGATAACATGTGGATAAATGGGCAGATGGTTGGTGAGTGGATAGATGGGTGAATGTGTGAATGAATGGGTAGGTGGGTGGGTGGGTAAGTGGGTGGATAGATGAACATGTGGATGAATGGGTAGGTGGGTGGTGGGTGGGTGAGTGGATGATGGATGGATGGATGAGTGAACATGTGGATGGATAGGTGGGTGGGTAGACAGATGGATGAGTGAATGTGTGTGGGTGAGTGGATGAATGAATAGGTGGTTAATGTGGGTGGATGGATGGAAGAATGGATATCCAGGTCCCCAGCCGGGGCCACAACCTCTCCTACTAATCACTCCCATCCCATCTCTTCAATCCCGTTTCCAAATATATCTTGGTTACACCACCTCTCTGTGCTCATGCCCTCTGCCCCTCCTGACTCCCACCTCTCCAGCCACCCCAGGCTCCCTCACACGGAGCCCACCCTGGCTTCAGGGCCTCTACAGAAGCTGGTACCAAAACCTAGAACATCATTCCCCCAGAGCAGCCCAGAGAAGGTACCCCTGCCCTTCCCTTCTCCCAGGCCCCCTGCACTCACCCCTCCTTTTTTTTTTTTTTTTTTTTTTAAAGATGGGGTCTCACCATGATGGCCAGGCTGGTCTTGAACTCCTGACCTCAGGTGATCCACCCACCTCGGCCTCCCAAAGTGCTAGGATTACAGGCGTGAGCCACGGTGCCCGGCCACTCCTGCTTTCTTTATAGCATCTATCACTAACAAAAATGCTGGCCAGCTTGCTTTCCGTGGCTCCTCCACAAGAATGCAGCCCACGGGCAGGGCCTTGCCCTTTGCCTCTGTGTCTCCACCCGAGTTGATGTTCAACTCACACTCGGGGGATGGATGAACCACGCTTATTGGTTGATACTTTGAGTACAGAGGTTTCCCCACATATATCAGATACACAGGACAAGTATGGAGCAAAACTCCAGCAAGAGGGGTCAGATTGGTGTGCCCCACCCAGCTGTGTGCTCTAGGCAATCTCTCTCCCTGCTCTGAGTCCACTTCCTCAACAGGAAAAGAAATTCCACTGCACAGGGTGTTGCATGGTTTGAGGGATAAAATGAAAGTGAAAATGCAAGACACATACACGACACTGTGAGCTGCATTTATTGTAGCATGTATAAACCACTCACAGCCAGTGCCTGTCAGGGGCCCAGGACACTGTCCAGCAGGGCCAAGGAACCACAACGCTGGGCGCATAGCCCACACCCTGGCCACCAGGCAGCAGTGCCCAACATCCCTGAATGGCAGAGCAGCCAGGGCCCCAGTGGTGACTGTCCTAGAGGGACCTAGTAGGCATGGGGCCAAAGCTGGGCCCTGCACCTTGTTTGGCCTACAGATTTAATTTCTGAATTAATTTAGTTTCTGCCAACAATTTAAAAATCAGGACACCTCACATACAAATCTGTATTTCTGGCTTCTCCAGATTTCTGGCATTAGGCCTGCATTCCCACATGAGAGCAATCAGAGCAATTAGCTACACCTGAACATGGCAGTGGCCACCGTCAGATGGGGACCCACCACACTCTATTGCTCTCAAGGCAGGCGGCAGTTATCCCCTAGATTGTGCGAACTTTCTCTCTTCATGATGTCTTTGTCTCTAGCAACAGTGGGAAAGTCAAAGTGAAGCAGGCTCCCAACACCAGGGCCTGTTTCATCCACTTATATAATCTACGTGGCTGCAGGGGCATCCGAGGTTGAGATCTCTGGACAAGCCCAGGGAGGGGGCAGCAGGGTAACTCCACACATACCCCTTGCATAGCTGATGAGGTGGAGCTGAGGGCAGCAGCCAGCCTTCCCAAGCCTGAGCCAGTTGGCTCTTGAGAAGTTCCCAAACTCCCGGAACCTGGAAGGGCTAGTAGGCAAGCATAGGCTCTACTGGTGAGAGGTTGCAGGAGGAAGCCAGACCCAGAGAGTATGGGGCCAGCGAGCCCTCTAGTGCACATCAGGGAGCTCTGCAGCCACGGCGAAGATGCTAAAGTTGATTCCTAGGAGTCAACCATCCAGACCTCCCAAACAGGCTCCCCCTAGTCCCTTGGCTTCCAGCTACTTCTTTTGCAAAGTTGTCCTGACCCCATCCCGCCCCTCAGACCCTCTCCTGGGCACTCTACTCCCACCAGAGTCCCCAGCAAGGCCGCCCCTCCCAGGCTGCACCCTCTTCAGAGCGGGGTCCAGCCTCCCACTCCTTCAGGTTCCTGTGTTGCATTCCAGGTCAGCCCGCAGCGGCCTCGAGGTACAGGGAATAACCCTGCAGAGGCGAGAGAGGCCAACTCCGAGTGTACCAGGGTCAGGCGGCACTTAGGTGAGTAGAACGGACCAGCTGGGGCCCCTGATGACAGGGGAGGCAGTGTCCCAGGTAGTATTGCCACTGAAGAGCCAGCGTAGCCAGGTGGTCATTCTTCAAAAGAAGCTGTGGATCTGGACTCATGTGAAATCTACCAATTTCTAAAGGTTGGCTCAAGGATATAAACCACCCAGGCCAAAGAAAACGTGTTGGCAGGGTGGCGCCAGGCCAGGGGCCCCAACCAGAGAGTTCTGCTGAGGCCCCACTGTGGACAGGACCTCAGAAATAGTGGGCGTAAGCCAGTGGTTTTCAAAGTCATCATTCCATTTGCTCCTGAGAGGCAAAGCAAGAGAGACAAAATTCTTGGCCCCATTTCAGAGTCTGGAACACTGAGCTGAGGTGGGTTCCTGGCAGGCTCAAAGTCACAGCTCATAGAGAAGAACACTCTGAAGCTGCTTGAGGCAGTGGCTCCGGGAACACATCCCATACAGCCACACACAGAAAAGTACATCCGAGCACTGAAGGGCAGGAAACAGGGGCAGCCCCTCCACACAGTACCTCCCACCCCGCCCGGCCTGCACCCTCTGAGCTGCGCCCTTCCTAGTTCCCTGGAGATCCTACTACCCCAAATGTAGCCGAGACAGTGACTCCCTGTGCACACGTGTGCCTGCATGTGTGTGAGCACGTGCACACAGGACAAGTGGCCCAGGCAGAAGCACAGCAGCTTTCTCCGTGGGTGGACAGTACAGCAGCTCAGGCGAACCCCTCAGGGCTCAGTCCCAGCAGGAACACCTCCTGCAGCCTTGCCCATCACGAGTGTGGTAGGAGGGTCCTGGGGGGCCCCCAAGGCTGGGTAAGCCAGGCATGTGGCCATGGCCTGTGGCGGCCTCACCAGTTGGCTTTCACTGCTTTGATGTCACTCACGAGGTTCTGGGCCAGGCAGATGCCAAAGATCTGTAAGACAGAGGATGGGTGAGGGAAAAGCTAGGGCAGCCCGCCAAGGGGAAGGCACGTGGGGCCACAGGAGTACCTGGAGGAGGGCGATGCCCACGAAGACCCCTGCCACGACAATCAGGTTGTCCTGCAGCCACTTCTCAAACTGACCCACGCAGCCTTTGGTGTGGATGAAGCCCTGCTGCTCCAGCTCCTGGGGACATGCAAGCACCAGGCTCAGCCTGACTACCCTTCAAGCCAGCTCCCTTCCCTCTGCAGCCTGCCAAGCTCACGCCCACCCCAGGGCCTAAACCTATGGCACCTGCTCCCTGGTGCTCTGCCACAGGCCTCTGCAAAGCCAGCTCCTTCTCATGGGGTCTCAGCATGGACGCACACCCCCTCCTGCCTGCCCAGCTCCTCTCCTATCACCTCCCTTATTTTCTTCCAAGCTCTCAACTGAAACTGTCACATGGCTGTTCATACTGCTTTCTCTAAGAGCTTACCATCTTTCTCCCTCCTCTCCTCCAGAGCAGACGGTCTCATGAGCAACAAATCTCCAGCCTCTAGGGCAAAACCGGGCACCCCAAGGGTGCTCCACAGAGCACGACTGAGCAAAGCCACATCTGCCCGGGCCTAGGGGTCTACTTCCCCTCCGCTGCCTGGGTGCCTGGCTGGTTCCTGGGACTCAGCACCATCTCCCCAAAGAATCCCTGAGGACTTCCAGAGGAACTATGGACAGTCCCATTCCCATCCCAGTGCCCCCGCCTGCCCCAGCCCAGTTCCTAACCCTCTCACCAGTTTAAGCCGGACGTCGTAGCCACATTGGGTGTTGAGGACATCTTCCTAAGGGGAGACAGGCCAGTTAGTGACTTGGTGAGGACACATCCCATGGGGTCCATGGTACCTGGCGCTGTGGTGGCTTTTCTTTTTCAGAGTAAGCAGATGGGCCCGTGGATTCTGCAGTGTCCACCAGTCTTAAGGGGGGCTCTCTGAGGCCTGTGTGCCTCTTTTTTTTCTTTTTTTTTTTCTTTTTGAGACAGGGTCTCATTTTGTTGCCCAGGCTGAAGTGCAGTGGCGTGATCATAGCTCACTGCAGCTTCGACCTCCTTCGAGGAGGACCTTCGAGGATCACTGGGCGCAAGTGATCCTCCCACCTCAGCCTCCTAAGTAGCTAGGACCACAGGAATGTGTCACCATGTCTGTCTAATTTTTTGTTTTCTAGACATGAGGTCTCACTGTGCCGCCCCAGCTGGTCTCGAACTCTTGGACTCAAATGATCCTCCCATGAGCCACTGCACTCAGTCCTATGTGCCTCTTTCCCAGACGCCAGAATGCGTGGCTGCAATCACCAACCTGGACCTGTTCAGGAACCCTCCCTGCTGGTGTGTTATAAGAATGGGGAGAAACCTGGCCTCTGCCATCCCAGATGAACTGTGACTGAAGAAACACCACTGGGAGAGATTTCTGCCCTGAAGAAAGCCACAAAGGGGCAGAGCTCCCCACTCCCTGATACTCTGCAACGGTGGCCCAGTGGGGTGGTGGCTGGCAATGGCCCACGCAACTCTTACCATATACAACTGTAACTGAGAGTGACACCCGGCCAACCTTCAAGCTGGCCAGGAGCAGACATTGGCTGCAGCTGTGTTTATCTGGATGTATAGGTTGCAGGGAGACCTCCAGGCAAGTCCCCATCCCTGTGCCCTAAGGTCCTGCCATTTCCATCTCACTTCAATCAAAAAGATAGGTCTTGCTGAACAGGGAAAGCAGCCATGCCCAATAGGCCCCAGTGCCACCCACGTAAAACAAGCTCCCCCAGCACTCATGCCCCCAGAACAGGGTAGAGCAGAGTGGGGCCCTGTGGGTGGTTTCCCCAGAGTCTGTGCACTGCAATGCCCCTCGCCTCTCCTCCCCCAGTCCCACTCACCGCAGGGTCCCTAACGCAACAGGAGAAGGGCACCCCACAGCGTTCCCGGCTAGGGTTCAAGTCAGTGCAGTTGAAGTAGATATTGAGGTTCCAGTCGTTGGGGCCTCGGGCTCCGCAGCAAGACCACTGTGGGGGCAGGGGAGAGCCCCAGGTGAGCCAGGCCCACCCCAAGAGCCTCACCCTGTCTGGGGATAAGCCCAGGCTGCAGGGAGACAGGGCTGTCTGGGAGGGTGCTGGGACAGTCAGGTGGGTGGCAATCTCCCCACTCCCACAGGCCTGGGCCCCACCTCCGGGTTGGTGGAGGCAGAGGGGTACAAGGGAGGGGACCCTGAGCTTGCCCCCCGACCCAAGAGAGGCTAGAAAAAGGGAGGGAGTAGGACAAGGATACTGGTTCAACGACCGTTGCTTCCTCTGAACTACCTGAGAGGCAGGCACTAGGCCAAGCCCTGTGGCGGCAGAGAACGCTGAGCCACATGTCTGCAGCAGGCCTCTCACACTTGCCCCAGACGTTCTACAAAACCCTCCTCTCTCAGTGCAGGGACAGGAGGGGAATCCTGCCCACTCCCATCCCTGCCATCCCCCAGAGCCATCCTACTCCATTTCCTCCATGCTGGTTCGCATCATTCCACACCCCATCACCCTCACCCAGAACACCCTATGATGTCCCCTAAGCAGGGGCACTGGTGAGATTGGGATCTGCCATGAACCACGGTCTTGTGGGGCACACGGGTGTGGACAGCCTTCACTGACAAGAGCAGCACAGGGGCTGGGGGAGCTCAGGCTTGGCGGCAGACACAGGTGGGCCCCGTGGCCAAGCCAGAGAGCTGGGGAGCCAGGCCTGTCATGTGCCCTGCATGTGCTGGTCCCAGGGCAGGGCTCAGCCTCCACCTGCCTCCTGGCACCTGCTCAGCACCAGTTGCTCCTGCTAGAGAACACTCTCCTCTTTCTTCCTTCTCCTCCTTTGGGAGGCTTCAAGCTCTCCACCCAGAGACCATCCCATTCTACACCCTTCATTTTGACTCATCACAATGTACAATTTTGTACACACACGTGTACATGCACACATTTGTTTGTTCTGCTTGTTCACCATCTGTCTTTCCTGACTGCCATCCCTGCAATGGCAGGGTCCCAGCTTTTTCCCCCGCCGGATCCCCAGGGCCTGGCTCAGGGTCTGGCAATGGCAGGCCCTTAACAATCCTATGCTGAATGAATGAATGGACCACATCACAACTGCCCAGCTATGTCTGCCTCTGCCCTGGGTTGAGAGTTGCTTGAAGCAGGCACCAGCTCTGCTTCATCTCTGGATCCCAGAGCTGACTGTTGGTGGTGAATGGCGCCAAGGGCCTGTGGCCATGTGTGGGTGTGATTGTGTGTGACTCATGTGTGACTGTGGATCTAGGTGTGTAAGTGTGATCAAGTGTGCCTGTGTGTGACTGGGTGTGGGCATGACTGTGGGTGACAGTGTGTGACTGTGTATTTGTGATTGGGGGTGAGTGGGCGAGATGGTGCAGGTGGGAGGCAGCTAGGGTTTTGTGAACTCTTCTCTGGCTGCTCTTCACTGGAGTTAAGTTTGCAAGCTTGAGGGCAGAGTTTCCATCAGCAGCCTAAACTCTAATATGTACAGAGGCCAAACAGTATAAATGAGAGAATAAGGGCTGACAGATATAATAAAATGCAGAGTGTTGGGAAGAGTGGCAAACAGAGAGCCTCTGTACCAGTAAAAGGGTGGCAGCGACATAGCCCCAGCCAATAATACTGCGGGTCCAGGGTTTAGTAGAAGTAGAAATCTATATTTTTATGTCACATTTCCTCCGTTCTCCCATGTGTCGTAGGCCCTGACCTGGGAGCTGTCAGTGTGGAGCCCATGGCCTCTGTTTCCCAAGGCTGTGTCCCTATGGTACTAGGCAAATGGGGACCCATAAGGATCACCAGGGGCTGGCTCTCCTTGGACGAGAACACTCCTGGGTCTCTTTCCTGGGGCCCACTAGCCCAGGTGGGTAAGGAGATGGTCCTATCACAGGGAACTTGCTCCCTCATTCATCTGCCAGGAAGGCGCCTCCTACAGGTGGCCCAGGGTGGACACTGGACTCACATATTCCTGAGCAAAGTCAATGAGGTTCTGGAGGTCAATGTCGTCCCGGTAGGCCTTGACGTTGTTGTTGATAAAGAGGTTGAGCTGGTCTCGAATCCAGTCCTTGAAGACAAAGGCCAATATCCCTGTTGCCAGCTCCAGGAAGAAGATCAGGCCGAGGAACATGGAGAACTGGGGTTGGGGGCATACAGATAGTAGGGGTTGGAGACGCAGGGCTCTGGTGACCTCCCAGGGCTTGTGTGTGCCACAAGGGAGGAGCTCTATCCCTACTTCCACCAAGACCCAGAGGTGCCGAGAGTCCCCACCTTCCATTATTTTAGTATTGTTATATGATGGTAAAAGGCATCTGTTCTTACCTGTGCATCCATTCTCCTTTGTCTGGTATTCACACCCTGCTCTCTCTGAAAAACCATTCTCCATGCAAACCTTTAGTTTCCAAGGTTTGGATGGAGCCACCTCCTCGCCCCCCTCTCCCCCATCCCCCCCAGTCCAAGATACAAGACTGGCAAGTGCCCAAAGCCCACCAATCAGAGTACTGCCTCCCTCAGCCTCCGGGGATTGGTCCAGAGGCAGCCAATCAGAGCTAAGGAAATGCAATTAAAGCACTTTGGAAAAACAGTTGGGAAGACAGCTCTCAGCCTCTAGCAGGAGTTCCTGGGAGGGCATGGGGAAGCCAGCTCTGTTCCTGAGCCTCCGGCCACCTGGGAATGGAGCCAAAACGGGGGTGGGGAGACCTAAGAACCAGAGAGAAACCAGGCCAAGTGACACCATGGCAGCCCCTGGACCAAAATGCATCAGCAGCCAGCACACCCCTGGGCTTTTCTTATTTGAGTCAACAAATATTTTATGCTTGGGCCACTAGGTCTCAGTCACTTAGGATACCACAGAAAGGATCCTAGTAAATATAGATAACATGAATCTAATGATGACAACTATAGCATAATAGTAAAGCTACCCATCATTAAACTCCAACTGTATTGCAAGAATGGATAAGGAGATTGGAGTTCCCAGGGGATCTTGGGGGCGGCACTCACGAACTTGAGCAGGAAGGTGTTCTCCCGGAGGGCCCCGATGCAGCCAGCAAAGCCCAGCACTGACATGACGCCTCCAACTACCACAAACAGCCACACGGGGTCAAGGCCTCCCAGATCTGTCAGCGCTGAGATGTTGGAGAGAACGCCCTGTGCCAGGGAGCAGAGGCAGGTGCAGGGAGCTGACCTTCCCACCACCTTGCCCCATGCCAGCCCCCATGCCTGCCCACTGCCTTACCTTCTCACCCCAGGCCCAGAGGCCGATAGCCAGGAACAGGGCTCCCAGCACCTGCAAGGGCAGCAGCAAAGGGCTCAGGGTGGGAGCAGCCCCAGGACCCTCCCCCTCATCCTTTCCCACTGTCCAGGGTCTTTGGGAAGCCAGTGGAGAGAGGAAGAGGCACAGGGGCTGTGAACCGGATCCGGGGTTGTTTCCATCTTCCCAATAACACATCCCAGTGCTTCTTCCCCACAGGACACAGCCTGGAGGACTGAACCATCCACTAGCCTTGGGATGGACATCAGGGGCCCCTTCCTGAAACTCCAGACTGGAGCAGACAGTGACCAAGACACTCCTGCCAAGAAGCAATAGCAGCAGTGGTGGTGGCAGTAGTGGTGGTGGCAGCAGTGGTGGTGGCAGCAATGGTGGTGGCAGCAGTGGTGGTGGCAGCAGTGGTGGTGGCAGTAGTGGTGGTGGCAGCAGTAGTGGTGGCAGCAGTGGTGGTGGCATTAGTGGTGGTGGCATTAGTGGTGGTGGCAGTAGCAGTGGTGGCAGTAGCGGTGGCGGCAGCACACTGAGCCTTTACTCCTGACTAAAGCTGGTGCTGGGTTTCCGGGCTCCTAGCCTCCTTTCTGCACCCTGCCAAGTCCAGCCCTCCTGCTGCCCTAAAGCCCCGTGACTGCTGCCCCACCCTCAACACTCCTCCCCAGCCCCAACCTACCACCTTAACCTCTACCTACCAGAGTCAGTTTACGTGGCTCACCACCAAACACCGCTGAATTAGGAGGAATCTCAATGATCCCTAGCAGGATGCAGCTAGAGAATCCTGGCCTGTGCCAGTGGCTTTGCCCTAGAAAACCCGTGGCCAAGCTCTGCCTGGGCCTTCAGAACACCAGCTAGACTCCCCACTGGGACAGTCCAAGTGCCCCTCCTCCACCCTCAGCTTTCCCACCATTCTGCCTCAATTCCCTACTGGGAAGAGCCCTGGCGTCAAGGCCAGTTACCCTCATGCTTGACCCTGGGCAGGTCCCTAGGTGTCCAGCTTCGGAGGAGGGAAGCCGGTCGTACCCAAACCCAGAGCCATGACCCCACCTCCTAAGACCTCCCTGTGCACCTGCTTTCTCTGCAGGCTCCTTCCCCTCAGCACATAGCCACAGCCAAGGCCTTTATTACCTTCCCTTCCCTAACCTTGGGCTCCCCACACTGCTCTATTCTTTCTCTGAAAACATCTTCCCTTCCTTCCTGCTTACTGGGTCTGCTGTGAAACCAAATATCTCTTCTCCTGCCTCATCCCACTTGACCTATCCTTGGCCTTCAGATGGGACTGAGTACCACTTTCTCCTTCCTGAACCCCACCTCAGTTAACTCAACCCCATTCCTCCCCGAGCTCCTTCCCAGGACGCTCTGCCTTCACCTGCCCCGCACCTGTGGCTAGTCTCACGGTCTTCAGCCTCAGCCTTCTGCCCTTCTTCCTCCTCACATTCTTCACCCATCCCATCCAGACACTGGCATCTCCCGATCTCCACCCAGACCTCATGCTGCTTCCACACCCCTACATCCATTCACCTGCAGCAAACACCTCCACAACCCACCAGCACTGATCCTTGTCATGCCGGGAATTCGTTGGTGAATAGGACGGACTCATGGACCTTACACTCCAGCAGGGGAGAGACAATGAGCAAGCTGACAAAGAAACTTCAGATCCAAACAGACCCCCTTCGCAAATATCGATCGGGTGATGAGATGAGGGGATGCTGGCGGTTGGAGGTGAGCTTTAGAGAGGGCAGGAGGGAGGGTGGAGGCATTCAGCTGAGGTTTTAACAATAAAAAGAGCAAGAGGGGGCCAGCCGCGGTGGTTCACGCCTGTAATCCCAGCACTTTGGGAAGCCGAGGCGGGTGGATCATGAGGTCAAGAGATCGAGACCATCCAGGCCAACAGGGTGAAACGCCGTCTCTACTAAAAAATACAAAAAATTAGCTGGGCGTGGTGCCGCACACCTGTAGTTCCAGCTACTCAGGAGGCTGAGGCAGGAGAATTGCTTGAACCCGGGAGGCGGAGGTTGCAGTGAATTGAGATCGCGCCACTGCACTCCAGCCTGGCACCTGGTGACAGAGTGAG